CTGAAAAAATGGAAATAAAGTGTTTGTAAATGGGGGGGAGAAGAGGGGGTGAAGGGAGGGTAGGGACAAGGGGAAAAATGAGAATCAAGACCTATTATGTAAAGGTACAGAATCCCAATGATGAATGTAACTGTATTTGTATACCTAGATTGTACCAATATCCTCAATAAAAAAGAAAAAAAGAAATGATTTTATAATAAAAAAAGAATAAATTATAACAAGAACAAAGGTTTATAAAAAGTAAATATGAGGAATTATGTGTGTGTGTATATATAGTACATATACATACATACACACACACACATATACACACATACACATATATAAAATACATGCAAAATAAATGTTCCACCTCTCAGCTACTTCCACAGCCCAACAATTTTACATCTTAAAAATAAAAATGGAATGTTATTTCATTCAAAATGTACAACAGGGCCAGGGATTTAGCTCAGTGGTTCTACTGCCTGCCTCACAAGCACAAGGTCCTGAGTTCAATCCCCGGTAGCGAAAAAAAAAAACAAAAACAAAACAAAACAAAAAAAACAACAAAACAACACGCGAGATGCTCTCTAAAGGTTAATAAGTACAACAATATACATTCTCATAATTTTCCAGTAAATGACACTTCTAGATCAAAAATTACCAGAACCCTTAAAGATTTATTTTTTTTTTGTTTTTACAATTCATGAATTTCCACCTCAGAAGTTTGAAGACACTGACTTCACATAGGTAGTTAGGTCCATATGTCAAGCATGCATCCAGCAAAGATGTGAAAGCCATACTTTCAGTACTCTCTGCTACCTGGACATTTGAAGGTGTAGACTTGTGGAGAAAGCTGTAGTTTTTCACTAGATTTTTCAATTACTGAATCATATATGTTTTTTCACCTTGCTACCATACAGTCATCAGAAAGCTATTCACTTACACATGTTATAGCCAATATATTATGCTAAATGCTTGTTTGTAACCCCAGGAAACTCACAGACACACTACTGACTATGATATTATACAAAATCATGACACAAGTTTCAGTGTAAGAGATTTACTTTTCTCAAAAAAAAAAAAAAAAAAAGCCATAGTTCAGATTTACATAAGTAGTGCCTACTTTTAAATAAATTAAAATGCTGTCCTGTCTGTAAAATTATAAATATTTCGAGGCCATTTTACAGAATGTTAAATGCTTATAAATGCATTATCTCCCAGTAAATAGACATTATGGCACTAAACCCAGTTTACTAGAAAAAAAGAAAAAGAAGAAAAAAGAAAGTCATCACACTGGCTCACGGAAATGTCCACGATTATTTATCACTTAACATCAGAAAAACTGAAACAAAGGGGAAAAAATGAAAGAGAGATTTTAGAAACTAGTAACTATGATCTAAAAGGAGAGTACTGAAACATCTTCATTCATTTCAGTAACTAAGTCTTTTCTGGAATGAACATTTGTCACTGACAAGGTTAGGAGAGTGCGACTCTCAATGCTCAAGTCAAAATCACAAAGTATGCAGAAATAATTTCCAAATTATATGAAGAATGACAGACTTTGAAACAGAATGACCATTTAAAAACCATACACTGGGGCAGGGCGTGGTAGCGCACGCCTGTAATCGCAGCACTCAGGAGGCTGAGGCAGGAGGATCACTATGAGTTCAAGACCAGCCTGGGCTACATGGTGAGTTCCAGAACAGTCTGAACTACATAGTGGGACCCTGTCTCAAAAAACAAAACAAACAAACAAAGAAAAAAAAACACACACACACCAGGGGCTGGAGATTTAGCTCAGTGGCGCCACCTACCTCACAAACTCAAGGTCCCAAGTTCGATCCCCAGCACCAAAACAATAACAAAAAATAAAAATAAATAAAAATCACACTCCCAAATTCAGCCAGAATATTCAAGATTGACAAACACTGATGAAGTATTTAGTAGAAACAAAACTGAAAGTTATAATCCTATGGATGCCACTTACCAATGTGAAGAAAGAAAAATGATTGCAATGTACAATACACATTAACAGGCTAAAATGAGAAATTATAAACAATTTAAGTAACCAAAACATTCCCTATTAAAGCAAAAAAACATGATTAGAAGAAAGTAGCTTTAGTTCTGTGGCCTATTCAATTGCTCTTTACACAAAATATTTGTTCCATCTTGAAAAATGGCTTCTGAATGGTGCTGGCTCCTTCGGGTTGGACAGGAGGAAGCATGCTTTGTAGAGACAGCAAACATGTTTCCAAGCCTCCACCAGGATGATTCGCTCCAAGTTTAGAGTATTTCCAAATCTACATGCCGAACTTCAGGATTTCGTTTCTGAAAGAAAAATCACATTATTCATAGCAAAGAAAGTCTTATTTCTTTTTATTGCTTTTATTACTGATGATACATCTAAGATAGATTCGAACATGGTGAGTCTTCTAGATGGATGGAGACAGACACTTAGGACAGAAAAAACAGCATGTGGAAATGTAGAGAGCCCAGAATGCAGGCACTGTCTCTGTGATATGGTCAGCAGAGACGCTGCAAAAAGGGCAATCTTAGTAACAAGTCTGGAAAGGTAGGCCAAAGTCAGGTTGTTAAAAATCTCATATGCTATTTTAAGAAATTTCAACTCAGCAGCAACACATAGTTTTTCCCTTCAACAGACTTACAGTAAGTGAGGACGAGATACAGGTAAGTAAGCAAGAATTACAATAGTTTGCTGCTATAGAGCAAAGTAAAGGTCTTGGATTTCTCCTTCCTATATATATACAAAAGAAGGACACTTGAGGGGAATTAAAAATATTATAGAATATTGTGAGAGCAGAGAATAGACAACAGCGCATGGAAGTGCATAAATCTACACTTTGTAAAGAGGAAATGTTAAATGGAAGCAATATAAAACATAAAAATATGACATGAAATAAAAAACACTAAAAGTATTAAAAAGTTATACATGAGAGGTAGAATTAGGGAATAGAAAGAGATCAGTGATACTTTTTACAAGCTTAAAGTGGTTTCACTTTATATATTTTATGCATGAGCTGCTTTTAGAAAAATTAAAAAACTAAACAAGGGGAAAAAAGCTGCTGTAATTCTGAAGTTAATCAGGATTAATAACTTCTACCTTAAAAATAATATCCCAGGACCATGTGCATATTACTTGTATTACAGGGATTCAGTTCTAGAAACAAAAATCTGGTATAATATTGGAGTTTTGCTTGACTACAGCATTCTCTGAGTGAACCCAGGGATTTTTCTTGTAGCCAAGGATGTATGACTGGGCCTTGGGGTCTTTTTATTTGGGGTTCAAGTGTGCATGGCCAGGGACCCCCCCAAGCACACTATTATTCTCAAGTTTATCTGAAACCATTTGTTGGGTCAAGAACTTCTTAAATTCAATATGGAAAAAACTTTCTCCAAACAGAAAAAAAAAACCCTATCTGAATAGGACTTGAAATATTTAGCTGTTCAAAGGAAATCTGGCACTGTTTTACCAAAAAAGCACTGTATAGTAAATGTATACTAATAAAAACATCTCAATCTTAATCAGATCAATTACAGTTAATTTACCATATTTTTTAAATCAACCTAAGAGAAATATCAGAGTTTATAAAATGTGCACAATACAAAGCACATACACATTTGCTGAATGAATAAAACAGGATTTAAATTTCTTAAAATGCAATATTTACTGTTTTAGCAAGCTATTAAGGACATAACAAAACCTGGCATTTGTTAACGCAGAACTGAAGAATCAGGAACTTGTACTAACTTATACTTTTTATTTATTTATTCAACACAAACTTTTACATTTACTATGTTCCGTGCACTTAATGCAAGCTAAACTATTTTGCCCACTACAGAGACAAAAACCAAATTATGTGATTTATTTTGCAATGCTGAAGACTCAAGAAAATAGCATTAAGTGGATGCAACTAGAGAAGCAAAGATAAAATAAAAGGCAGAACATTATAAGAAATTTGCTAATGTTATGGTAGCCTCCTATTGAATTAATTTCCAGAAGAATTATTTCTTCTCAAATACAAAAAGCTTCATGGAAAAAAAAAAAACTTCATAGGGGGAGAGGAGAAGGGTCTGTGTACAAGAAGTAGGATTAAAACGTTAACGGTTCAAATATCTTCAAAGAAGATATATTTTATAATTTTGTAACTCCCACTTTATATATCAGAATTTATGAATTAGCCTATTATTTTTCAGTATGTTTACAAAGAACTAGGCAAATTCTAGTCTCTTACATCAATGGAGATGTCTCGTGGCTATACTGATATAGATAATATTTATACATGAAAGTCACACATGGAACTTCAGCTGTCCCCTCCCCATGGACAGAAAATTATTCAATGCCAATTACTACGTTTTTCAATAACATTATTTAGAAAGCAACCATGAGATATTAAAAACGAGGGAATGGCTAGTGTACAAAATTTCAGTTTTCAAGAGAAAATCAGCTTATTTTCATGATTAAAAAGAATTATGTTCATGTATTTCCTTTTGGTTTGGTACTTCAACTTTGAATAATTTTCCTTTGATTTAATATTAAACATGTTTTATTACTTTAGCCAAAGATGTTTCCATCTGCCTATGTGAGTTAAACTTAGCTTTGCACTTCGCAAAATTTTAATAATTCTAAAATGCTATTAATGATTTAATAGTATCTAATTAAACTACACAATTAAATAAAAACAACAAACTTCTCTGATTATAAGAGGAAATATAGTTGAAAATGATCAATTATTCTTAAATGTGACTTCTGACTTCCTGTTTCTATTAAAGTATACAGATTTAGTTCATTATTTTCCTTACCAGGGAACTAAAATAAAAGAGAAGAATAAAGTTCATTCTTCCTATGTTACCTTACTCAAAAATAACCATCATTTTACATTCTATATAAAACACTGGTTCTCAAGGTCCAATTGTGGGCTTCCTGAAACCTTTGCAAGGGGACTCTAAAGTCACAGCTATTTCCATAATAAATAGAATAACTAAGATGTTATTTGCCTTTGTCATTATGACATATCCTATGATAACCTAAAAGCCATGATGGCACCTTTGCATAAGTAAGCAAATGGAATCAAACTGTACTAGTGGTCACTTTACTGCCACATACTCAAAAGCCAGTTTTACTTCAAAATATCCTTTATGAATTAGTAAAATGTATCAATTTAGTTAAACCTAACCCTTGCGTACCCTTTATAAGATACTGTGACAAATAGAACATAGGTATGAAACACCTCTGCTTCATACTGACATACGATGGCTCAAAGAAAGTGCCCCTTTGATTGCTTGCACTATCACCTAAATAAATTGCTTTCTTATCAGAACTTTCTATGAAAGATGTGCAAACTCATTGAATTAATATTTTCCAAAATGTCAATTATATTATATAGAATCATGCACAGGTAAAAGACCCATTCAGAGTACAAAAACAGACTAATGGGTTTTAATATGACAACACACAGTAGAGAATTGATTTTTCTCAAAGAAAGGTCTAGACTTTGCCCTGAGTTACTACAGGGTGGTTTCTAGGCTCTTGAAAATGTCCTAAGAATGCTTTTGTTTATTTGAAAGTGTTGACCACCATGCAGTCTAACATGAGACTTCTGAGGGGGGCTTTAGGTCACATTGTATCTACTCCACGTTAGGAGGGGCCAGAGATAAAAGGTCAGCCTCTTGTAGTCAACTCACTGCCTCAGTGAAATCTCAAGACATCAAATCTCAGATGAGCTTCTCTGGTTAACCATACTCAGGACAACTGACACACTTCATAGGTGGGAGTGTAATGCTATCCACAACTCCAGCAGGAGAATACCACTGATATTCCATACTTGGAACTTTGCTGGATTCTATCCTGTATGCCTTTACCCACCATAGAATTACTGAGAGTTAAGAATATGCATATGATACACTTAGCATAGGGCCTGATGTAGAGCAACTGCTTGAAAAGTAGCTGTCACTATCACTGCATTATTTTTATGAATGTCTCTTACTTTCAATTCCTTCTCCAGCCTATCTACTTCAGCTCCTAAAGTGTCGATAATATTTTCTCCATGTTTTAGCATAAACGTCTCTAGTTCTTCAGGAGTTTTCACTTCTTGAATTTCCTACAAAGAAGAGAAGCAGGAAAACTAAATTTTTCAAAAATTATACTAGTACATTGATAATTCCTTTGAAAATTTATAATGAACACCATAAATTTTAATGAAAAAAAAAAAAAACCTCTTAGGCTCTAGACAATGGACCACCTATTTCCAAAATGGACCAGCTATTTCCAAAAAATTCAGTTCAAGAAAACCCAGTACAATATTATACAGAGGAAATACTACAAAACCAGTGGCAAAAGAATATTCACGAAATAGTGTTAGGATATATTTTCTCGTGAAGAAAAAACACTAAATTTCTATCTCAGTCCATTAAATAAATAATCCCAAGTAGATTAAAAGACTTGAAGGTTAAAAAAGAACATAAAACTTTAAAAAAATATATTTTTCTGATAATAGGTTAAGCAAGGATTTTTTTTGCATATGATAAAAAATATTGGAAGAGTACAAGTTTGACATTAAAACTAAAAAAACTGTATTAAATTTTCCATACAACAAACTGAAAAAAGATACTGCATATATACAATTAAGTATCTAGCCCACTGGAAATAAAATGTTTACCAAAACATGTCAGAATAACACAAATTAACTAAAAAACAAGAAGCAATGTAAAGTCCAATGGTCAATGAATTTCAATGTTTATTATTTATTAACCTCACTACTCCAAGAAATATAAATTGAAAGATACTAATTCACACTTATATTGGGAAATTTTTGAAAACTATTTGTATAATCTAGTAAGAATGTGAAGTAACAAAAATTCTGATACACGGACAGCAGAAGCTGAACACATTTTGGAGAACAATCTGATAGTATCTATGGAGCTACATATAAGAATGGATTCACAATGGCCTTTACCGATTTGAAATCTAGCTATTCATACACTACCCTGAAGAAACATTTGCCCATATGCAGTAGGAAGCATGTATGAGAATACCATCAAGGTTGTTTCTAACAGTTTAACACTGAAAGCAATGTAAATGTTCATCAACTGGAGACAAACTACATAAATTGCAGCATAGTCATAGGATGGAATATTTTATAACAAAATAATAAATTATCTAGAACTATATAAATTAACATGAAGGAATGTCAAGAGCTAGCAAATTATACATACAGTATGAAATCATTTATACCCATTTTCAACATTTAAAATGTCATATCATGCTAAAAAATGCTGGAAAAAAAAAAAGGCTGAATAGAAATAACAATACCAAATTCACCATGAAGCCAATTCTAGGAATAGAGGAAGAGTAGAATTAAAGAACATAGGAGGGCTGGGGATGTAGCTCAGTGGCATAGCACCTGCCTGGCAAGCACAAGTCCTGAGCTTGATCCCTGATACGAAAGGAATAAAAAAAAAGGGAGAGAGAAAAAATGGGGACGTGAATTGTATTTGTCATGATTTATTTTTTAAGATCTTAAGCAAACAAATATAGGTTAACCACTTCTAATCAGAAAATACAAAATGCTTCGTGAATCGTGAATTGTATTTGTCATGATTTATTTTTTAAGATCTTAAGCAAACAAATATAGGTTAACCACTTCCAATCAGAAAATCCAAAATGCTCTGCAATTCACAACTTTCTGAGCACTGATGTGACACTCAACACTGAAATCTGGCCCCCAAGCATTTCATATAAAGAACTCTCAACCAATACTGTAAATATGTTAAGATCTGACAAAGGCAAGTGACAATAAATGTGCTGTTCGTTATATCATGTCCTGTAATTCTCTTTCAAACTATAGCAGTCTCCCTGTCTATGGAGATGCGTTACAAGACCCCAGTGGGTGCCTAAAACCACAGACGATACAGAATCCTATGTATCCTATGTTTTTCCCTATACCTATAAAGTTTATAAATTGGTCCCAGTAAGACATTAACAACAATAATAAAACAAGTATAGCTATGCACTGTAATAAAAGTTCTTTGAGTATGGTCTCTGTCTGTCTCTGTCTCTAACTGACACAGGATGGATAGCATATATAACATGTAGGACACAGGGATAACTCATGTCCTGGAGAAACAGCCCAAGATTTCATCACACGATTCAGAATAGTAATTTAAAGCTTATGAACTATTTCTGGAATTTTCCATTTATTATTTTGGGACTGAGGTTGACCGTGATTAACTAAAACTATGAAAAATAAAACTGAATGAGATGAAGGCAACTGCCATATTATTTTAATGTTTTGTTTTCTTTTGGAGTATTGGGGATTGAAATCACAGCATTCACATTGAGTTATATCCTCAGTCATTCTTTTCTTTGAGACCAGATCTTGCCAAGTCACTAAGTTACCCATGGATATAAACTTATGATCCTCCTGCCCCTGCCTCCTACAGTGCTGATACAGACATTACTTGATTAACAAGAGTTCCAGGCCCACAACTAGGGTGTTGAGTGAATTGATTGCTAAATAAGGAACTGTATATAGCATATACATTACACTATTCAGAACGAAGAACTGCAACTTGATGACTTTGCTTTTATTTGTATAACACGACAGTACTGTGCTGTACAGTACAATAAAAGCTATAGTACAGTATAAACAAAGTATACTGTACCAAAAATTAGGGCATTGAGATTCTATAAACAAGATGTACAGAACTGTACAAAATATTTAAAAAGACAGGGCATAAGTCCAAACAGCGCCCCTCAGTCCTACGTCTGAACAATCGTTAACCGGGTCCTCATTAAACGAGGAATATCCATATTATATATGTGTGCCACCATGGCCAGCTTTAGAACTGCCGCCACAGATTCTGGAGTCTAAAGTATCTAAATTCACAGATGTGTATATAAAACTTTAGACAAGTTACATAATCTCTCTGTCTTAATTTGCCTATGTTAGAATGAAAATGTTATTTTACCTCATTGGGTTGAGAATAAATCAGATAAAATAAATAAAATGCCTGGCACATAACAAGCCTAACAACTTACAGTTTGCTCTTCTGGTGTCTCCTCTAACCCAGTCTACAGAAAAAAAAAAAAAAAAAAAAAAAAAAAAAAAGGTCCTCCATCAAATTTTAGAACCTAGTAAGTTGATAGCTGAAGTTACTTTAAGACCTACAAAAGAAGGTTTTATTTCATTTGTTTAAAAAATATTCTTTTCTGCCATCGGCTACATTAGAAAATGATAAACACATAAACTTACCTGTAGCATTTGGTCAAAATCTTGTTTCTCCAAATATGATCTTGTAACAACTCGTCCATCAAAATCCACTTCTGCTTTAAATCTTACTTTACCTAATCCCAGATCTGTGGCTTTAACATCATGAATTGCCCTACAATCAGTAACAACACATACAAATTTAAAAAGATACATAAATACATACATACATAGGGGCCGGGGATGTGGCTCAGTGGTTCCGCCACCTGCTTCACAAGTGCAAGATCCTGAGTTCAATCCCCAGCACCAAACAGAAAAAAAAAAATTACATACATACATACTCCAATGATAAAAAGCCCAGAATTCTTGTTTTATCACCACCAGTGATGAAAACAGACTATGAAGCCCTTGGAGTAGTTACCATAAAGTAACACCTATCATTTTCTAAGGTTAAATTTTTGTATGTAATGCTATACAAAAGTGAAAATTAACAAATATTATCTTATGGTAATTTGTATACTATGAGTTACAAAGCTGGTATATTAAAAAATCAACTCTAAATTGCTTCCCTAAAATGCTGTCATACAATCTCATAAATCTTTCTCCTCATATATTCACTTACCAATTTGCTAAATACCATTTACAAAACACTTATGGGTTGACAGTAAAGTTTGAGTATACTAATCATTTTTCTAAAGTAGTAATGGGGATTGAACCCAGGATCCTAACATACCAGGATATTGACATACCAGGCAAGCATTCTAATGGTCTTCAAACAACTCCATTAAGTATTCTAAGAATGGGATACCACACAGGATTGATGACAGGACTAATACGATAACATACAAAATGCTTAATATGGTATCAGCTATAAGATAAGCATTTAATAGCTTTTCTAAAATATATGAAGTGATATCTTTACAGATGATAAAACAGTCTGAGAGAGGCACAGTGATTTGTTAAAGATGGCTCAATTAGTGAAAAGTAAACCAAGAGTCCTCCACACTGCAGCTCTTCAGACAACAAAACCGAGTCTTTCTGTTTCACCTTTCTGACTCTCAGGAAGGAAAGCAGATGCTAAACTACTACAACCATTTTTCACCCCTTCTACCCTAACCCTCAAGAATCAAATGTTCTCTGGAAAATGACTGAGAAATCCTCTTCTTTGAAAAGTGACCACCATAATAGCTTTTCTTTACAGAGTACATAAGAAATAACCAAACATTTTGAATCCTGAGTAGTGTACTGGAAGAATAAGCTTGAGTGACACTCCAAGTACTACTAAAAGGTTTGAGTGATCTTGAGCAAATTACTGAGTCTAAACAGCCAAATAAAGACAGTGTGTATATCCACTATCTAGGGTGAAGTACGAATAAATGACTGAATACTTATAAAGTTATATATGTTCAACTTAAAACTTGCTCAGATTGGCAAGAAACAATGTATTTTTAAAAACATATCTACTTCAGTCATTATAAAGAATCAATATATTTTACTGGGCATGGTGGCACACGCCTGTAATCCCAGCAATGGGAGGCTGAGACCCTGTCTTTGAGACCCTGTCTCAAAAAAACAAAAAACAAAAAACAAAAAAAATTTTCATTACCTGACTAATAAGTAGCACCTTATGAGCATCTTCTGAGACACTTTTTGCTTATACTCTTATACATAACTTCAGACAGAAAACTATCTGAGAACAGGCAGCTTATGAGATGCTGGAAATGATTGATCCTATCTCCAATATCCTCTGTAGGCTCCTCTCCTTGAATGTTGGCTAGACTACTAGTTCCTTACTGTTAACCCATAGAATATGGCCAAGTGATATGATGTCACTTCCAACGTCACAAGAATAGTGTGTGTGTTTTTTTTCTTATTCACATTCAATCGCTATTGCCTTATCATCCAGCATGTTTTGATTAAACTGCCATCTCAAAGAGGCCCCCATGGCAAAGAATTTATTTCTGCCAACAACTGCAGAAACAACATATTGTCTCAGTCAAAAATTTCATACCAGTCTATGAGAAAGCCTGACAGAGAATTCATGCAAAGAATGTCTAGATTCTTGACTCACAGGAGCAGTTCATAAATATTATTTAAAAACAGTAAGTTTGTTACCTATTAAGAAGGTAATATACTACTTAAAAAACTGCCATGGGGCCGGGGATGTAGCTCAGTGGTGCCACCACCTACCTGGCAAGCACAAGGTCCTAAATTCAATCCCTGGTACCAAAAAAACAAAGAGAAAGGAGGGGGGGAGAACATGCAGGGACAGGCTCTCAGAGGGAGACTCTGTGTGTGTGCCATGCCTCTGACACATTCCATAACTATGTCCAGGAATTCCAGTACAGACTTAAACTTTCAAAGAGATAAAAAGAAAATGACTTAAAAAAAATTGCCATGAACTTTCTAGATGACTAGCACTTATTTTTTCCAACAATTTAATTCACAGATCTTCACTGTTGCAGAAAAGTTTAGATTTGTTAATCTTTCAGTTTAGCTCTTTTTTAGATTTCAATTATAAGCAACAGGTGGAGATGACAATACCCTACCTCCAATAATAGGCAGAATAACAAGGAAAAAAGATCAAGAGGAAAACTGAAGTCTTAAACACTACAACAAAACCTAATAAACACCTATAAAACACTCCACACAACAGAAGATATTTTCTTTTTTCTCTCTTTCTTATTAGTATATATATGAAATACATAATAAATATACTTCTCCTGGAGAACTGGTCAATACACATGTCACATCTTGACCCTTTCTTCCCTTCCTCTACCTCATACCTGTCACTATCATTGGACAAAGAAAGTGTGGTATACAGGAAAAAATATGATGAATGTTTAAATTCAAAACATTACAGTAACACTAGCACTGCCATTAACCTCCCTGAAAGCACTGCTCTTGTTTTGAACACAGCTATCCTACTGTTCTCGCCACTTTTTTTTAGTTTGAGATTTTTTTATTTTTGTTTGTTTATTTTTAGAGACAGGGTCTTGCTATGAATTTCAGGCTGGCCTTAGAGACCCAGAAGCTAGGGCGCAACTATATCAGGAAGATTTGGGTGATAACCCAGAAATTAAACCAAGGATAGCCCGACAACAAAAATAAAAATGAGAAAACACTTAAGCAACACACAAAGACAGACTTCCAGTTCACTAATGGCAAACAGTAGGGCAAATGAGAATGAAAAGGCCGATAGTGAACCACCAGGACACCCTGAACTCAAAGCACAGGAACTAGTAACAAAATAGATCAATCAGGCTCTAGAAAAATTCAAAACAGAAATAATTTCCCAGATAACCCTAGAGATGGTGAACAAAATGAAAGACGTGATTCGAGACTCTAGAGCAGAAACTAACAAAAAAATAGATGAGCTCAGGACCATGATAGAAGCCATGAAGGCCCAGCATAAGAAAGAAATGGAAAAAAATAAACGCCCAACATAGGAAAGAAATGGAATCCATAAAACAGATTCAAACAGATATCCAGATTAAACACTCCATTGAAAGTGTAACCAACAGAATAAAAGAATGCAAAGATAGGCTCTCAGATATAGAAGATAAGATTACAGTCAGTGACCAGGAAAAGAGAGGTCTCTCAAAAACAGTAAGAGATCATGAGAAATCGATCCAACAACTCCTAGATGATGTAAAGAAGAATAACATAAGACTGATAGGAATCCATGAAGTAGCAGGAGAAAATACAAAGGACTTTAAAACGCTGTTTGCAGAATTAATGACAGAAAACTTCCCAAACAGGGGGGAAGAATTTGACATTCAGATAACTGAGGCATATAGGACCCCAACTAGCCACAATAAAAAAAAAAAAATCTACACCTAGAAAT